AGCTGCGAAAGTGTGATTTGTGAGCCATTGAAAACTTCCGATGCGCTTTCATGAAGCGTTTAGGCTAACCTTGCAAGCATACCAAATCCACATGCCTCGAACATTTCTTCAGAAACCGGAGACGCGATCGAACCTATTCCAATGAACAGCAACACATTCACATACACAAGTTACACACCTTTCCTACATACCTACATTTGTGGATCTACCTATATGAAAATTCTATTATTACTATTGCACATTTGTTGCTCAATTGTTATACTATTACAGTTATCATGCATTTATTGGTGTGCCTCGTGCAGACGAAACTAAAAATGTATTTGTTTGTGTTTGGTTATTCAACCGCTCCCTCAGACAGAGATAGGTGCAAAGAGTTAAACCTTAAATAAATAAATAAATAAATAAATAGTATATTCTCTGTAAAACGAGACACACCTCGTAATTAGGAAGATTGCATTTAAATTTGTGCTTCCTCCACAAACTCGCTTGGCGGAAAGCATATGTTGGAATTTATACACTGCACTTTTGGGAAAACAATAGTTATGAATTGTGGGACAGTAGTGAACATGAATCCTTCTCGCTTTCAGGATTCTGAGATATTGGAAATTATTCTTTTTTACATTTTCCGATCGTCCATTTGATTGACTGCTGGGACATACCGATCACTTGCTCCTCTGGTTAGTCACGCCGCATACTGCCGTCTGGTTACCTGCCCTCGATTCTTCGCAACTTTCGTCAAGACGCGTTGGGTCCAGACGAGCCAACAGTTCTCCCTACTTCCGTACTCCGCATGCTTCTTACGTGCCACCTATTGAGATTAGCACGAGTAGCATCCCACAATTGACGACCCCGACTGCAAGCACGGTTACGCCATCGCCGAAATCATTTTCTATTACTCACGAGTAGCAGGATTTTAGTTGTAATTCTGATAAGGCTTTCATCCCAATAATTCACAAGCTACATAGCAGAGCCTAGTCCGGAAAAGCGCCAGACGCGTTTCGCCCTATTGGGGCTCGTCAGTGGCGCGCATTCCCTCGGTCATCTAAGAAGGATCGAACCCATGACCGCTAGAGGCAGATGCCAACTAGGCAGCAGCTTAAGCCACTAAGCAATGGGGGACATTGGCTGGGCTACCTAAGTTGCAAACTGACTGGGATATAGGACCACCTACCTACCACTGTCACTGACGAACTCAGTTTTGCTGAGCTCGTCCCTTTGCTATTCTGAATTGCATTTTTGCAACTATTGTTTTGTGATATTCTATGGCTCACACGAATCCTAACATTTTCAGCTCATCTATTAGTGTTGCATCGCTGTCTGGTCCTCCTACGTTATTTGATGATCCTCCATTTTGGCTTGGTTTGTTAGAATATGAGTTTTTGCACCACACTATATCTTCCGACTAATTTACATGCAGGCATTGGCTAGGTAGCCTTCCTAGGGACATCACTATACGGTTCAGGCACTCTACCGAGCCCAAATACGAAGATTTCTTATGAGTCGCTTAAGCAGATCGTGACCCGACTGGAACCAAGAAGTACGCGAATAAAACAGCTACTCTATGGCTTGAGTCTAGGAGATGCGAGGCCATCCGCCTTATCGGGTGTGAAGAAGACTTCTCGCCTCGAACTCAATGGAAGCAGAATGTGAAACGGCAACCGCTACCTATGCGTTGAATAGTCCCAACACGTCTCAGCAGTCATCTACTTCATGCAGCCACTCCCTCTGAGCTTTCCATAGTACTTAATGAACTAGCGACATTACGCAGCGCTCTGGATTCACATTCAGCACTTGACAACTCACCAGTACCTAAGAGCAAGTCGGTAAGCTCAGTAGCCTACCACGCACTAAACTATGCTGGTATCACTGCCGATTTGGCCCTCAGACGAAGCGATGCATTACGACCTGCACCTTCGCCTCGACACAAGCAGGGAGGCTCCCAAGCCGAAAATCACATACTATTACCGTCACCGACCACATCTCTGGCAGTAGGCTCCTTTAAGTTCAGGACTGCAAATCTGGAACCGCGTTCCTGGTTGATACCGGGACTAAAGTAAAGTTGGTTCCTCCCGCACCTGCGGATGCGACTCAGCTGTCTAGTCTCAGTCTTCGTGCTGCCAACGGTACACTCATCCCTACTTATGACCAACGCTCTTTAACCATTAACGTAGGTCTCCGTAGAATATTTCGCTGAGTGTTCATTATTGCCGGGGTTCCTAATAGAGACGTAAGCGGAGCTAAAGTTGGGCATCGACTGAGAATTGACCGACCAGCAATTACCAGTCCGCGTAAAACGAATCGAACTATAAAGTCAATATAATAAACCCGTGGAGTGGAACTCACTCACACTGGCTGAAAACCGAACGCACAAAAATGAGCAATCTTGATCTCCTAAATTAGCATGTTTCGGCTACCTATAAATACAGTTAACTTATGGTGTAGATAGACTCCCTGTTTAGGGAGCCTTGGTCCTCTGTATTCCGTCGGTTGGTTGGGCGCGTGACTGAGAAGTCAGACAGTCGCAGTCTCATAGGGCAGCTAGCAACAGTACAACAATCGTCAGTGGCATAGGTAAAGAAGAAGCGTAACAACAGCGGCGACGGAGGCGTTAGAACAGTTCCGTTTGCCATCCTCTACATAAAATTCCTTAAACAGTTTGACATCTTGGTCGGTGCGAAACAAATGAGGATAGTCGACCCTGCCAAGACACTCAGTGTCACTGGCACCAACGCTGGCACCTCAGCCACCACCCCAGTCCACGTTCGATCACAGACCTCTCCCGATTATGCCGAACATTTATCTCATGCGCCATATCCCAAATAACGGCCCAACCATCTCTTCACGTCCTCTCCGACTTTCGCCGGAGGCTCAAGCTAGTTAGGGTGCAGCTTGAACACATGCTCGAACTTGGAGTAATCCATCCTACAGATAATCCCTGGTCCTCTTCACTCCAGATGGTCCCAAAGAAACCTGGGGACTGGCGTCCTTGCGGTGACTACTGGGCACCAAATAAACTTATGGTACCCGATCCCTCGCCCTCCAACCACGATCTCATTATTTAGCCTTATATAATTATGCATAATAATTTTTTTGGGTGCATAGCAGCCGGCTGGTAGCTCACCGGAACGATGCCCATCCGTTACCGGTAGCTTAGCCAGCCTGCACCAGTTGCATTTTTCTCTTTTTTTTCTATGTATTGCGGCACAGTAGCTGAGGTGTTTCCCACCTCGAGCTAACGTGTATGATGATGATGATGGTACCCGATAGGAACCCTATCCCGCACATGCAAGACCTTGGCTGGCATGCTGATCTACCTCCTTGTGGTGCGAGCTGAGTGGTTCGGGTGTACCCCGTTCGAGTAAAGTGTTCGACGACAATGTTCCAACTCCGTGGGGCATTGTATTCCAGAAATTGTGTTGACTTCATGGGGAGTATTGGGCCCCTGTTTGGTAATCTACCAAACATTCAGTCAACGCCTCCCAATGGGCGCGATTCCCTAAATTCGCCCCGCTGCCTTGCGGGTAGGTTATTTAGCCAAAGGCTCGGGGTGGAGTCCCCTAAGTCAACTCCCTACTTCGGCTTGGGCAACCGGGTAGTATCACGCCCTCTCACAAAACCATGGACTGTACTACAACGTGCTCATCAGCTACTGTTCCTGCTACTCACTTTCACGCGACTTCATCACACGCCAATTGTTTGTTTGCTAACAATCCTCACTTTCCGTTACCCGATTCATGTGTTCAACAATCTGGCTGCGATTCCGGTTGCGCCGCAGACCAAGGAGTTCAACCTATGGCTCTCCTTCGTCCCCGATCCTCGTTCCATCTAACGTGCTTCAACATTCGGACACTCAGGCAGATTGGACAGCAAGCCGGTCTAGCGCGCACCCTGGAATTCCCCGATATTGATGACTGTTGCTTTTCAGAAACCAGATGGCAAGATCCCAGCACTGGGCTTAAATTGACATCCCCAATGACCACGAAGCCAGGTATCACATGCGTCTTTCTGGAGATCCAGAAACAGCCCCAGCAGGTTTGGCTGGTTTAGGTATCGCACTAAGTGGCAAGACCGAGGCGGCACTACTGGACTAGTTCCCGATTAACAACCGACTATGTGCAGTTCGGCTTCGGGGTTCATGTAGAATCAACAGGCACCGCGAAGAGAGACAACTTGGGTGATCTCCGTTTACGCTCTAACTGAATGCAGTGGCGATTCGGTCAAGGACGAATTCTACCGGGACCTACAACAGCTCTTGACTAATGCTAAAATGCCGGATGTCCTTATCCTTGCTGGGGATTTTAATGCACGGATTGGCCGCCTGTTACCATACGAACGCCACCATGGTGGTCATTACGCTATCGATGAGAACCGCTCTGTTTGAAAACAGTGCTACGAGGCGGATGTGACTCGTCACTAAATAAAGTCACTGTCCGTTACTTCATACTGGTAGAGCATTGAACTTCATCGGGTTGCTGCCGAAATCCTGAAGAGGATCGGGCCCTTGTTTGCTAAGTCCCCAAACGAAAGGCGTATGAACTGAACTATCGGTCACCTGCTCCCAATGGGCGCGATTCCCTAAATTTGCTCCGCTGCCTTGTAGACAGGCTATTCAGCCAAATGTTCGGGGTGATGGCTTCTAACACAAAAGCTTATCTCGGCCTGGGTAACAGAGTAGTAGCAACCCCTAGGAAGAAATCCTGGATTGATGTTGATGTGTTGGGTTCTCTTTGTATGATAACTGTACTTTTTGGTATTTTCATGGTTTTTGTTTGCTTCATGTCTATCTGTAGAATGTTGTATATATCTTTATATAACCCACTATCTTACTTCTCCCTCCTTCATTTGCAAGATAACACGCGAGTACTTTGTGAGTAAATGCATATACTGTAGCTCTCTCTCTGATGCACAAAACTTTGACAAATCTGTGTGCGTGTGCAGGAACTCAGCGGGGCAGGGAATTGACATATACGAAGGGAATACAGTTGTGCGAAGCACGATAATCAGTACAACTCGTCGTCTTCGCAAGTAGGGGCTGTGCTGCCTGCTTCGCGATTTTTGATCTGCTCCTGACTTTTGTACATTTCGTAAACCTAAAATGGACAACAAATCGGGTGACGGTCGTGAAAGCAAACTGACCTGCTCAGCGGATGTGGCGTCTTCCGGCTTTTTATCCTCACGAACACGCAAGAAACGAGGGAATCGGAGTGAAATGCCTTTCTCCGGATCGGCCTGCAAAAAATGAGGAGACACGAATGATAGGTGATTAAAGTGGACGAGCCATGTATGTCCAGATGGATGTTCCGAGGAAATTTGCGGGGGAATTGCCACCCGATGGGAATATGTAGCTATTTGTGGTATTCTGGTTTTGTATGGCTAAGAAATTTTATTATGTCGCCCAAGGGGCAACATCTAGAAACCGCTTTTCACCAGACTCCATCACCCTATCGCTCAAAGACTGCAGGAAACACGAAGATTCCGTTGAGATTCTCAAAGCACCACATCTGAAAGCAGCAATGAAGTAGCAACGAGAAACAGCCACATTTTTAAACTGGTAGTATCGGATAGTCCGACGTGAAGTAACGCTTCATTCACGTACCTGCGGAATGCATTCTGCCTGCACAGCCTGGTAGTATCGCTCTGCACAAATGACCGAGTGGCCACAGCATATTTTATGATAGGTTCCCCAGAGCAGTCCGTAGAAAGCGCTATGCAAGGGGCTATAGCTGTAAAAGCACATGTAATCAGGTGTTACAGTGGGCTTAATTCGCTTCCGTGAAGTTGGATACGTGATGCTGGATACGAAACACAGTATATGAGTGGATCATCAGAAAATATTGCAACGCCACCAGTATGACAGTGTCAGATGTTGGGCGATGGAAAACGCCAACGTTTTGCCAACTAATGGTTGATAGTCATGCCACGAGAGCGCTGCGTCTGGATACGTAGAGCTCAACGTGGCCAGAAAATGGGGCTCGGGTCATGGTTGATGCGAAAGAGCACGAGTTGAAGAAGTTTGAAATCTCGGCAGCACAGTGCATACTGCAGTAGCACCTACTAAACTGACTATCTTTTGTAAGTTGGCCGTTTTGTGACAGTCTGAACGCTCACCATGTAAATCCTATGGAACTACACCTCGGTAAGTTGCATGTTGACAAATGGGACCATAACAGTCACTATTAATTTAATCACTATATGTTGGTCATGCAAAGGCTTACTGTGCAATACTCACCGACCGGTTATTTGTTCAAATAATATGTAACGGGGTTTTGCAATGTAACCACAGGCACTGCAATTAACGGCTCAACAGACGTTTGGCGATACAGTATGTTCTCTGTCTGTGCGTGTGTATTTTTGTCCCGCCCCTCAGTGATCCAGCGTATCGCTGTTTACCTCGTAAAATATGTCATCACAGACCCACATTCATAAACTGACCTCGAGCATTTTGTGTAAAATCATATCTCAAACAAGTGTGCATGAAACCTAAGTTTGGAACATATGCACAATGAAGAGTCTAAGTGCCTATCTAACCCCCGATTAACTGGTACGAAGTTAACCAACACCTGCTTGGATTGTGGCGACATCGACGTTTACGTGCACACTGAACGTTAAGCGCCTATCCCGCGCTATTTGTTGTCTACACATGACAGGCTCTGGGACTGGTCCGTTTCGTGGCAACTGCCAATTAATCTCTCTATATTCGACATTCCGCATTTGGAATGGAGGTCCACTTACGAGTTACTTTTAAGGCGAAAACGAGGTGTCGCATGTGGTTGAGCAGTTTGATGTGGGATTCACGCTGGCATCGAATCTCAAATCGAGGGAAAACTGGACAAAAGTCACTTGCAAGGGATTCAGGATGCGGTGGATGATTCGCTGCTCATTCGGAATCCCTTGTACGCCGCATACAGCCATGGAACACTGCGTGCAAGTTTGTGCTCCTTGCTTAACCCGGGACAAGATGACAGTGGAGCGCGTCATGAGGGTCGGCAGTAAGGTGGTGCATGGTGTAGGCGCATAGCCTATTCAGAGCGACGGCTTAAAGGAGTATTTCCGCCGCACCATCGACATCATAGATTGGACCTGATCCTCACCTATAGCATCCTGAAGGGTCAAATTGACCTAAATCAATACTATTTTGTCCACTCAACAAGACTACCACCATCCATGTTTACCCAAGGACACTGCACAGGTCTCGAGATGGTCAGGTTGGGACTGACAGTCGGATATCACCCTCAGTAATTGCCGCTTGCAATGACCTGCACGAAGAGGCGATTTCATCTAAAGTTCAAGCATCCACTGGATGTCTTTGGTTTGCAGCTACAAACCTTTCACTTAATACTTCAGTCCATAGTATACATTTGTACCCGATTTTATCACGTCCTGTTTTCAATGTCCAGATTATGATGTTGCATTTGCCTTCCTTTCGCATCCTGCCATTAAGTTTTGTCTCCACTTTACGTGAATCACCGCAGTGAGACTGGACCTTAACTTGTTACGACGATTTGCACACCTTGTCGACCCATTGAGCTATACTCGGAGATACTCCTACAAGGTTGGTCAATGGATAGAGGTCAGACAAACTCAGTCTCCTGATCCTCCAGGCTGGTGTTTGGAATGGGATGTCATCCATCGCTGTAAAACTAAATCATTGACACCACTCCGCTGCCTTGCGGACAGGGTTTTGAGTCAAACACTTTGGTTGAGGAGCGTACTCGTCTTCCTGTCTAGGTCTGGGTGCCCTGGCAGTATCTCAGCCTAAGTGCAATCGTCACTATTTCTTCCATCTTCAACTACATCCTGCATCGGACGCCGCGCAGGTTATCAAACGTTGCCTTATCTGCTGCATACATGAGGGCGTATAAGCGCAAACATGATACTGCTGGCGCCTTTCTTCTATCTCTTCCACATGTTTCTCTTACTCCCAACCCAACCCCCATTACTAAACTTCCTTCTATAAATCCCAGCTTACTTCATAGCAGTTATAATGCCAATGGGTCGAACCAAATGCAGCAATCTTTTCACACCACCCACTAGACGTTCATAGGTAATAGGCCCTTATAAAGCCACGCTGTCTGGTTTCTCTGGTGGCGTTCAAGGCTCGAACTCTGAGACAAATAAGTCAACGGACTGCACTTGCACGTTGGACACAATGGGTGTTGACGTGTGTGTGTGTCCGAAACCAGGATCAATGACCTTCACGGGGTTGTCAAATTAACTGCGCCCGGCCTGTCCTCTCATTACTGGGTGCGCGCATCCGGAGTCGCTGATGCGGTAATCACTGGTCGAGCTGGAGTGGGTATTGTCCTCAGCGCCAAGTCTGAGTCAATGTTAGTTGATTGGATTTCAGTGCACAGCCGTTTGTGTGCAGTCCGTTTGACGACATCAACTAAGGTTAATTCACGAAGTAGTAGAAGACGCTGTTTGTTTTTGGCTTCCGTTTATGCTCCCACGGACTGCAGTTCTGATGCTGCCAAGAACACATTCTGCCACGAAATGAACACGCTACTACGCTGTGTTACCAGTTCAGATATCATAGCACTTGCAGGCGATATGAATGTACAAGTAGGGCGTCCGAGCTCTTCAGAAGCTCTGTTGGGTGGTAACTATGAGCTTAACTTCGACCGCGCGGACAACGGCGGGCGTCTGTTAGAACTGTCTGCGGAGCACCAGCTGTTTCTTACTAGCACTGCTTTCAGACACAGAAGGCATCGAAGTGCCACTTGGCTTCCTCCTGTAGCTGACCAGCGATGGACCCAAATAGATGACATTGCCATAAGTTAAAGGTGGTGTGGTTACATGCTGGATTGTCGCTCGTTCTGGAATACTTGCGTCGACTCTGAACATGCCTTGGTACGCTGTTGCTTTTCCATGAAAGTTACCGGGAGGCGTACCAAACGTCTCCTCCTATTGGCAACTGAGAAAGTATATAGGCGCACGGTCAGGCAAGCCAACCAGGATGAAGTGTGTACCGAACTTACGCTCCCTTGTCTTAATGACACTGAGCTTCAGTGGAATAGGATCTCGGCCGCCATGTACGAAGCAGGAGCATCTGCTTGTTGTTCAATCAATCGGCACCACACCAGGCGCTAGATAACCGAGAGGTCGGTGCACCTGTTGGAATCCAGAAGAAACATCCCGACCAGATCTGAGCACAATGTGATCAGACGGACCATTAGGAAGGAACTAAAACGGAGTCTGTGTGCTGAGAAGAAAGCCTGGTAGACCAGCAAGGCTCAATAAATGGAGAAGGCCGGAGCAGTAGACAATTACCGTAACCTCTTCCAGCTGATCCGTACCAAGGGTCCCGGGAAACCAAGCGTCCGTGAGACAACCAGA